AGCCGTGGACCGCGGGCCCAGGTGCCACGCAGCCCGGAACCCAGCGCTGCTGGGGGTTCGTCACTGCTGGGCTTTCCTCTCAGGCCACGGGGAGGTCGGGGCAAAGGGGGCGTAGAAGGGACAAGAACAGCCGGGGCGCTGGTGGTGCCACGAGCAGAAAACAAAGCCCCGCCCGGCAGACAAGATGGGGCCACGGCCCCTTCCACACCCGCCGAGCGGGGGGCCCAGGCACCTTCCCACCTTCTCTCCGCGCACTCGATGGAGACGGGGGACAGGGGACTTCAGCTCCGCACAGAGGGAGCCAAGTGCGTCACGGAGCCCGAGGCCCCTGCAGGAGGGACAGAGACTCCAGGCTTTCACACCCTCTGCGATGCCCTGAGGGCAGGCTCCTGGCAGAACCCGACCTCAGGTCTCTCTTTTCTGCTCAGTGAAGTTCCTCCCCCGACCCCCTTAAAACACCCACTTTCACCAGGACCTTTCCATTTGCATTTCCTCGGGACCCAGATCATCTGGATCAAAGCAGTAATGACCCGTCTGTCCATGAGGTCTTCCTGGTGAAGTCCCCACGGCCGCCCCACCACCGGGGTCTGAGGCTGGCGGAGCCTGAGGTCACCAGCCTGATGGCAGGCGCGCACGTTGGCCCACAGGGCCCTCGGCTCAGGCCGTGCGGCTATGGCACAAGCCTCAGGAAACAGGCTCCCAGGCTCCTGGTCGGCTCAGCTTGCAGGGAAGCAGCTGGTTGTGGTGCAGAGTCAGGCCAATCACAGTGGCTGTGCAACCTTAAGCAAGTTACTTAGTCTCTCTGGGCCTCAGTTTTCTCCCCTGTAGAGTGAGTAGAACCTTCATTGCAGAGCTGTGACATGAGAAGTGACTAGTGTGCCTGAGACATAATAGACAGCCAGTACGTGGAAGTTGTACTAATTATCACGCTTGCTGTTTCCTTGTTCTGGGCACCAGGAACAGGAAACGGAAGCCCACGGTCGGGATTTGGTGTGCTCTCGGCTGTGTTGTGAAGCAGCCCCGGTCATTTGTCCATCTCCCTTGGGTTTCTGAGCGCGCTCACGCCAGCACAGGGCGTGTGGCCCAGCCAGGCCCAACGCGGAACCCGGGCAAAGCTTTGGCGGGTCTTAGGATGACTTCCCACTTTAATTTCTTAAGACGCTTATTCTGTAGGGATATTCCCCCAAAGTGAAAACAAGCCCAGAAAAGACACACCCGCGTAGCTAGAGGAGGGTGTGCGCAACAAGGCCCCCTGGCCACCGTTGGTCAGGGCGGGACGCAGACTTTGCATCCCTGGCGGTGCGGGTGCGGGTGCGGGTACGGGAGTGGGTGCGGGCGAGGGCCTGGTGTTGAGGTGCAGCGTCTTGCGGAGCAGATCTCTGCCTTAGCTGCTTGGAGCTGGACTTGAGGGGCGCTTGTAAGCGATGCCCGGACAAGTTTTTCACCCACAACATTTTCGCCAGTGGTTTATTCAACCTCCATCGCCTGGCTCTGCTCACCCCATGAGCAGCTTCATTTCCTGCCTTGGCCTAATTCTCAGGCTTGCTGGCCCGCAGACCTCCTCTGCAGCCTCGATCCCCCCTCTGCCCCCCAGAAGCAGTCCTGGAAAGTGCCTGTTGAGTGTAGTATTTATTTTAACATCCTTTTCATCTCTGTCTTTAAAAAGTAGATTTAATTTTTATTGGATGTTCATTTTTACGTATAAGAGTCCCCAGGCGTTGCGCCTCCGTTTCTCGGGAAGGCTCAGGCACTCGGGAGCTGGCTTGCGGGAGCTTGTCCAGACACACGCTACGGGCATCCTGCCGCCGGCTGCTCACCGCAGGCCAGTGCTGGGCTGGACGAATAGCAGGGAGAGTTCATAATGCACTTCTCGGCGTGGGCCCCGGCTGGTTCTTACCAACACTACGGGGCAGACAGAGTCTGTCTGAGCAAGCAGTCAGTCAGTTTGGTAAAGAAAGGACCGAGCCAGCCATCTCACTTGTTAGTTGAAACAAAATGGTCACCAAGTCCCTGCATGGCCACGGCCACAGCCACAGCCACGGCCACGGCCACGGCCACGGCCATCTCTTCTGCCTTGAGCCCCAGGGTGTGTTCCCGAGGGAAGCAACACCTCCCCCCCTCCTCCATGTGTCCCAGCCCGTAGCTCGGCGCCCAAGCAGAGTCGGAGCCTAGATGTCTGTGGGGTGGGTTAAAGCTGGGGGAGGAAGGAAATCTGGGGGTTCTGTGTGATTAGATTAACTTAATGGTCTATTTGGGGGGTACTGGAGTGGCGCTGTTGGGATCTAACCTCTAGAGAATGTAATATCAAAGTTTGTGGTTTTTAAAGAGAAATTAAACTGGTGGAGTAGTCAGCACTTTTAGTAAATAGAATGATTCGAAATAGTTGTAAGGATGGTTTAAGGTAAAATCCTACCTTAATGTTAAAATGTTCTCGTTTGATCAGATGAAATTTCCGATATTTATTTATTTTGGACCTACGAAAATCATAATTTCATACGACTCAACTAATATATCTCAAAAATAAACAAATAAATGAAGAAACAAATAAATGAAGAAAGACGTTCGTTTTTCTGACTTGGCTTTAACACGAGGGCAAAGCCGCAAGTACAGAGACCACCGCCGTCGAGGTTGTTAACTAATGAACTAACGAGCTAATGAGAGGACCCAAGGAGAAAATAAGAGCTTGTGGATTATAGTATAAATCACATTATTCAATTTTATCCAATTGCTGAATTGCCTCAAAATATGGAAAGAAAAACAACAACAACGCGATAGCTGAGCATCACATTCAGTTCGGTCTGTGTTACTAAGTAAATGTTCCATGTAGCTATGGTCTTTTTCCCCTGTCTTAATTTGAGGAATTTTAACAAAAATACCACAGAATTTATTAGAGGAAATTATAAACTTTTTAAGATCCATAATCTTACCAAGCTAGCCCAATAACTTTTCACTTTCACTTCTTCATGTTCCATTCCATCATTTTTAACAAGTGTGTCCATATCTTTGTAGAGTTGCTGGTATAAAAATGGTCTCATGTGCTTTTTTCTTTCTATGATGGCTTTTCCCACGCGTAGCCTTCACGGTGGCTTTTAACTGCTTTGTAAACTTCCACAATTCAGCCTCGCGGTTCTGCACTATTTCCTTCTTGTTGGACATTTGGGCTGTTTCTAATTTTTGTTACTATACGTAGCTAACCCTACCAGAAAAATCTGAGGTAGGAAGCTTTGACAATTTCTTTTGAAGTGTTTCCTGGGGCTAACTTCTCCAGGACTGGCGACGAAGAGGCTGGACTCAAAGGACATTTCACTGTGCGCTTTAGACTTCTGTGCACAACAGTCCCGTTGAGGAAAGAGTTTGTTTCTAAGTCTCTGAGCCCATTTCATGGGTGTCTGCCTCCTCTGGAGCAGGAGACCTGGTGGGGGGAGAGAGGAGGCCAAGGAGCCAGAAGATCTGGGTCCGAGTCCTGGTTTGTCCCCAGCCTGTCACTGCTGTCAAAGGACATTTCACTGTGCGCTTTAGACTTCTGTGCACAACAGTCCCGTTGAGGAAAGAGTTTGTTTCTAAGTCTCTGAGCCCATTTCATGGGTGTCTGCCTCCTCTGGAGCAGGAGACCTGGTGGGGGGAGAGAGGAGGCCAAGGAGCCAGAAGATCTGGGTCCGAGTCCTGGTTTGTCCCCAGCCTGTCACTGCTGTGAGCAGGGCCCCCGCTCCCCCCCCCCACCCCAGCCTCGGGCCAATAACTTTTCACTTTCACTTCTTCATGTTCCATTCCATCATTTTTAACAAGTGTGTCCATATCTTTGTAGAGTTGCTGGTATAAAAATGGTCTCATGTGCTTTTTTCTTTCTATGATGGCTTTTCCCACGCGTAGCCTTCACGGTGGCTTTTAACTGCTTTGTAAACTTCCACAATTCAGCCTCGCGGTTCTGCACTATTTCCTTCTTGTTGGACATTTGGGCTGTTTCTAATTTTTGTTGCTATACGTAGCTAACCCTACCA